GCACCCCTGCATTATAGAGCCTATAATCCCTGGGTTGCCCAACCCAACCATTGATCCCAGCATGCTTCCCGGTCGATTTCAGGAGATGATTAATGGGTAATGCTTTATTTCATTGGTGGTCAACTGGTTGAATGCTTTCAACAAAACATTGCAGAGACACGTCCGCCCCCAATCAGTACCAAAATGCACCAAAGCTCCCAGCCCAACCTCCCCCCCTCCCCTCCCCAGGCAATAGGGCAATATACTGTAGCAAAGTGGGAACCCCCCCCCCCCCCCCCCCCCGGGAAAAGGGGAAAATAATTTAAAAAAAGGGGGACCCCCCCCCCCCCAGTCTGCGACCCTAGTCTGAGGTATTTAGTTGCCCCTTCCCAACGAACGCCATGCTGGGTTAACCCGAGTCAGCAGAGATTACTCTAATGGGCATCAGATGTGTCCAGTGTCACATTTCCTTCACCAGAAGAATTCTCTGCTAATTCAATCTAATACTGCTTGGAAGACCATGCACCTTCCTGCAGTCCTTGAGGTAACCAGGAGGGGACATGTCTTCACAGGGTGCGGTTGAAATGCTGTGGACACCTAAATCTAGGGTCAAGTTCTCAAATAGTAGTGTAATCAGACCATTTCCTTTTCTAATAGTTGTACATCCAACTCAAGATGCCGACTCTTCAGTAACTTTTAGAGTACAGAGTAACAGGCAGGAAAGTATGTATTAAAGCAATCAATGAAACTCTAAGTCCTAAAAGCAGTGTGCTTTGTAGAAAACTAAATTGATCATAATGGGCAAGGAATCCTGCAGTAATGTGAGTCATTCCACAAAGAGCAGACCTCACCCAATTCAAAATGCCTTTGATTTGATCTGATTTGAAACTTTTTTTATTTCCTGTTTGCAGGAGGGTTTTTTTTTTCGTGCTACAAAACACGTTAGACATGCTTGAACCTTAAAACACAAACAACGGGGGAGTACGGACTTTGTTGAATGTTACCTTGGTGCAACCTATTCTTTGTTCATTGCTTGGAACAAGAACTTATTGCCTGCAGTTTTACAGAAATAATTCCAGAATTCAGTGTGAACTGTGCTTCGGTGTACACTGTTTGAAATAAAATAATCATAAATACAGTAATCATAACCAATATGGATGCTGAACAAGTCACCAAAACTTTCTCCATTAATGTGAAAACATTTTTATAGTTACAAATTGCTGAGCATATTGAATAGGTATTCTAAGTAGTCATTCATTGGTACCAATCAAATCTCAAGTGTTGGAAATAGAAAGGGTGGTGTTTATGGGGCATTTTAGCAAGTTTAATGCCTTTTTGGTGACTCTTCATAAAATGATGCGTTGAATGGTAAATAAACGCTCTGTGGCTGGCTAAAGGATAGTAAACTGCTACATCAGACCATCTGAAACAAAATGATCGCAACATATTAAAATACCGATGTTTCGGTATCCATCTAGCAATAATCTGGCTACATAACAAAAGTTAAAATGTTACTGATCACTCAAAATCAAAGGCTTATCTTAAAAGGCAGGTGCGCATTATTCATTTCCTGTTATTCCTGCCGCATGGCCCAGTGCAGTTAATATTGTTTATTTCGGTGTTAGCTGTATCGATACGTCCATAGATACGACGATAGCAGCCATTTTAGAAAATGAAATACTTACCACATAGCTCCCCTTACTGCTAGCTGCCTTACTGCTTCATAGAGAAACTTGGCGGGGGCACGGGTCTTCCACAGGTGGATTCATAGACAGCTGGAAACCGCTGTTTGATCTCACCTAGGCTTTTTGAATAGCTATTATGTGATAAAACTCTCCCCCATGACATCCCCTCCACCTAGTACCCAGAGAAGACAAAAATAGGCTATTTGCCTCCAGAAGATATCACACTTTGGAGGTGATATTTATTTCTTGTCAGTTTTTTTTTTTTTATTTTATTTTTGGGTTTAACTCTTGAGGCTCTCTATAATTTTGACCCCTTCTTCTTCAGATGTTCTTTTGTTTCTGCGCATGGCGTACAGCCATCTCGGTCAGCGTTTAATGAGTATGTAGCTTAGATAGCATTTAGGCGCTTGCTGGGTCGGAATCTCTGTCTGCTCCCCTCCTTGTCACAAATGTGCCACTGCAAAACTTTCCCTTTTTTTTGTGAAAGCTCAAGGATCACATGAAAGAAGAAAGGAGAAACAATTCATTATTCTCGGGGCCCTGGAACAGGGTAAGAGGAGCAGCGAAAAGCAGGCCTGATCTGCTGAAAATGAGGTGGGAATGTGTTTGTTCCCAGTAGGGAAATGGGGCAGCTACATTTGAGCCATCTGAAGTACAGAAGCTATTAAAATCTGCCATAATTTCAAATATCCAATCATCGAATCTCTGGGAACACCAGGACTTAACGTCGTCTGGTACGAAAGCCTCATCATTTATTCATCCGTGAGCTGGGGAGAGAAGTTTCGGTGGGGATACATTTCCTTTCTATTTGATGATCCAGGTGTTCCGACAATAAATAACAAACAAGAACAGAACTTTCCCGCGTTTTCCTCGCTCGGGATCCGGGTGGGTGCGTGGCCGATAGGTGTGGAGCTGGCAGGACCTGGCAGGGTAGTATCACGTGAGAGATGCCTGTGGCACCGCCAACTTTAGTTATGTGCCATCACCACGGATGCCGGGGGAACGTCGCGCAATTAGTACAAGTGCCACTCCTGGCAGGCGCCGCTTGGAGTACAGTTTAATAGTGAGTCCTCGTAACCTGTACTTTCCCTAATCCTTTCTTCATTACGGGGAAGTGAGGCTGGAGACTGTGGCACGAGAGGTAGCATTTTTCAGGTACCAGGAACTATCTGGTTCATTTGTATTTACTCATTTATCTGATGCTTTTATACATAGTAGAGGGAATGGTCACAATTTATGGGATTTGAAATCACAACCTTTGCTATCTGGCTCTGGATGGGATTCTTCCATCCTCTAGGGGCCGTGGTAGCTAAAGAGCTGCCGATGGTGAGGCTGGTATGTCTGCAGGCCGCAGCTGTTCTGGCAGGGCTCTCTCTGTCAGCCCGGAGTGGCGACCGGTGCCGGTGCGCTCCGCGGGTCCCACTGTGCAGGTCCGTGGACCTTCATTTGGCCACGGCAAGCAGACAAAACAGCGGGACCTAATAACGTGTTAAATTGGACATGCTTGTTGGCCGAGGCGGCAATTTATGCAACCTCTTATTACAGGCCGTCCGTCTTCATTATTCTAATCGCTTGTCTTCCCTTCTCAGTGGCATTGCGAAGGAAGGGAGCGGGCTGCGGAATCATGAATAATGTGAAAAATAAATGCCTCGTGTGTCGCGTGTCAGAGCTCGGCGGAGAGAAATGTTGCCTTTGTGCCTGTTTTGAGCTCTCGCTTCGTCGCCGCGCACCTCCACCCGCGAAGACTTGTGCTACAGCCTGTCAGCCCCCCCCCCCCCCCCCGGTCTCCTCCAGCCCACCTCCCCTCCCCATCGCCCTGACGTGCAGTGTTGCATCCGCATCCAGCTGCCGGCAGCCTTTGTTGTGGTGCCTGTGGCGCAGGTGATGCAGAGTACTGCAGAGGCTGCTGGGAGGACCAGCGTGACATTGGCTGCGGCTCAAGTGCCCTGCGGCAGCACCGTGTCCCTGCCGAACAGCCGCCAGCCGCACCGCGGTTAGAGAGCGCTCGCCGGCTGGGGGGGGGGGGGGGGCTGTTCTCATGGATGAAGGGGAGGGGAAGCGAGAGGACCTGCCTTATCTCCCTGTTATTCCCCTACGATTTAAAAGCAAGGTATGCTAATGTTACGCCAAACCCTGGTGCGCCTCGGATTAAAGATCGCTGTGACTTTTGACAAACGGGAGGGCCCCCGTGCTCTGGTGGGGAGCAAATCCATGCGATTCGTGTCAATGCTTACCCCGAGGAAGCCCTCACAGCTGGCAAGCCATCTCCACTTAAAAACACAGTGGGTCTTTTACTTGGAAAAAGGAGCGTATTTAATAGAAGTTTTCTTTTCTTTTTTTTGGATTATTAATACTCTTCAGTATTAGCCAAATGTGTGCTGCGGATGTATATGATTCAGTGGCTGTATTTTGCTTCTCCACCCCTGAACCGAGAGCTGATGCCCCACCCATCTGATGATTAGGCCTGCGACCCCACTTAGAGTCTTTCTGCGGGCGTCTCGGGTTCCCCAAACCTGACGGAGCAGCCGTTTGGGTCCCTCTCCACACGCGCTCCACGGCGAACCCAGAGTCCCTGTGGGTGCCGCTGTTTGGTTCCGCACAATCCTGTTTGCGTGACACAGAAAATTGTCCACTTACTCTTTCACCTCTGCGTTCCGTGAAGCTCTTTAAAAATGACGAAAGGAAGCAATAATAGATGGAAGCGTTATTTACCTAGACACCATTTAAATAAAAAACTACATTATAGCGGTAGAAAATTAAATAGACACATTGGAAGACATGCCTTCAGATAATTATGATGGACGTATTCTTTCGAGCTGAGTACAGGAGCGGTCTCAAGGGGTTAATAACTTTAATATAAGTGGTGAAATGAGTTTAAAATAGCATAGTGTTGCATCGTGTTGCCATGGTAATCGTTGCTGGCGAGCAGAATGCTTCCTATTTACTTCTCGCTGGGTAGTTCTAATGTTCTTCTTCAGTGTGGATCTGTAACACAATTAACTTTGAGCAGGGGGTGCGATGCTGCTCCGGAGACCCGGCTCGTGTCTGTTTTACATTCCTTAGTGTTCGAATTAGCGGGAGAGCAAGGTGCGTCACACGCGGCGCCCCCCAAATCATTCGTGAACCGGTGCCGAAATGTCAAGAATTATTCACATTCGGGCCGCCACTGACCCGATGATGTCACTCTCGGTTACTTAAGGTGCTGGAGGAGCCTGTTTAAATCCCGGACCGTTCCAGTGAGTGGTTTACCCTACATTTGGGGCTTCACATCAGTCCACCCCCCACGCCCCCACCCCCGGCGGCTCAGTACGTCTGTCTTTTGCTCCGTCTCTGCAGGTCGGACCATGGTGGTGATGCATGGGAGGAACAGAATCTGGCCATATTGATGGATGTTCTACAAGAAACCAACCTAGCTGTGCTGGCCCTCAACCCGACACAGATCAATGGAGTGGACGAAAATGGTAAGGCGCCTAGAGCCCGTACCACGGCGCGGCTGCCCCGCCTGGGCCCACAGTTCCCTTTCTTGCTTTATTGCTCTGTGCCTGTAAGTAGGCTACCTCAATGGGGTTCTCCAGTGACAATTCATTAGCACAAGCTTTTCATGCACTCAAATCACAACTGAAAGGCACTTTAAATATTTAATGACTTTTCGCGGCGTTAGACATCATCTGTCAGCTTTTTTTTTTTTTGGTAGAATTATTTCAGTCTCGCCAATACAATGGGATTGGTATGCTGAAAAATCAATTTAACCTGTTCGGAAGTGATGGAGGAACAGTAGTATTGCCAAGTGTTTAAAAAAGCATGCGATCTATTTGAAACACGAATGTTTATCACAAATATTGGCAAGCGGTCTGTTTGATACGTGAATGTTTATCTCAAATATTGAATGTGGAATTACCAACTATTATTACTCCCCTCCTGCTGCTACATAAATTACAAATGTGATTCTTCTCTTTGTTCTGACAAACCGTGAGCGTAGAATAGATGTGGCAACACGCCAGTTCTTCTGACTCCCACTCAGCAGTGGCGCTGGTAGCTGAGTTCCTTCTCCAAGGCAGCTCTGGAGCTGACTGGGGCTCCGCCTCTGTGGTAGCCCCAGAAGAGAGCGCTGCTCTGCCTCTGGTGTCGCTGCTAAGCTACGCGAGCCTCAGGCTGCTGGCTAGCTCCAGCTAACTGGGTAGGACCATCTACCACTAAGCTGGCGGCACAGCTGAGAACTCCCGCTATAGGTTAGCTCCGGAGCTTTGAGCCAGTCAAACCCCTGGCTTTTTCTCCAGATCCGGCAGAGCTCCGCCTCCTGCATCGCTACATACCTGATGAGTGCACCACCTTGAGGCTAAATACAGGCTGGTGGAAAATCTGGGTAACCATTTGTCCTGAGAATAACTCTACCTTAACCTATAACTCCAAGCTGATTGGGTGGAGGGTCTCACAAAGAGGCAGATTATTATTTTTTTTTCTGTTAATATTTCATGGTTTTACCTGCGTCTGATCTCTATCGTGATAAAACATTTCAGTGAAAGGGGCTATAAATTATTTAAACCTATATCTGGCTTTCAACTAGTATTTTATCTGTTTAATACAGTAAACCTTTTCAGGAATTTATGTGGTCTGCTTATTTGAGAAATCCATCCTCAAACAATTGAAAGTTTATGAATCGATTATAATACACATGTATAGTCATATTTTATATCAAGACATAAATATCTTTAATAGTGGTAACGTTCAATAAATTGGAGTGTATGCAAATATAGTTTTTTTCACCTCTAACAATGGTGATGTAAAATCATATTGCCTTCATTTTGTTGTTTGTTTTTGCACACATTGGTTAAGTACATCTGCGAAAGGTCCAGCACCTTTAAATCTACAAGGATATTTTACAGAATTTTTTATTAAATGCAAAGACATACATGCAAAGACATTCCCATCCATTTCAAAACAAAATGATAATATATATCACAGTGCTAGCTATAGCTGCAGGTGTAGCATTGTTCTCCAGACTGGATGTGGCGATAGGCTTCTATGTAAAACCGTGTAATTGTTTTTGAAGATATATTCTGGAAGAGATGTAGGTAATAACGGGTTACTCTACGTTTTTTTTTTAACTTCAGCTTTGATATGACCCCTGGAGTTGTCCTGGTTAATTTTTTTGAGTGCCTTTCTATTCTGCAATAGTGCATTCAAAAGAGGGTAAAAGTACATAATTTAAAACCTGTTGATACGTTCCTTATGAGTACAGTGTTCAGCTTTTATATGTCCATCGATTACCACTTATCCAGTACGGGGTCACGGTGACCTTGGAGCACTGGGACAAATTAGATGGACTGAATTCATTACAAGGCTCACACATAAACATCAAGGCCAATTTGGACATGCCAGTTCACCTGTCGGCTTGTTGGAGAAAACTGGACAAGGAAACAAGCATGAGCACAGGGAGAACGTGTAATCTATACACACACACAGGGTGGGAATTGAACCCACAACCCTGTGTGTTTCAGGTTGCAGTGCTAGCCATTGTGCTGCTGTGCCGCCCACTTCTGCAGCAGACAATGCTATTTCATTTTTGCAAGTACAAAAATAAACACAGCCTATTTAAAGTTGTTTTTCTGTCATGTGCAATCTCCCAGAATTCCCAGTGCGCATTCAGTCATCGGCCAAGCTACTTTTTACCTGTGTCTAGCGCTAGGTTTCATTGAGAGCTGAAACTTAGCAGACAGTTGGGGGGAGGGGGCTTCACTTTAAATGTAAATATGACTTTATATAACTGTTGTTTTCTTGACAAGAAAAACACATTTATTGACACAAAAATGTAGGGGTACATAATAAGAACAGCCATGTTAGCATCAGCTTGTGAATTTGTTTTTGAATATTGTTGAATATTTGGTATTAGGATTACAAAAATTATGAATACCAAATTGTAATTAGGAAAACTATTCTCCACTAAAAGTACATGAATGCGTTCCTTGGATGCTTATGACTTTGCTTAGTAATTGGGGTTGGCGTGAGGCTCAGTGGGTGGGTACACCATGCCTGTAATCGAGAGGCTGCTGATTCAAATCCCATGGTTGGTCATGTGATTGGGTCCTTGAGCAAAGCCCTAAACTCATTGCTCCAGGGATTATCGGACTCTGCTTCCTCAAGAAATGTGCATCATTTTGAGTAGAAGCATTTGTAAAAAAAAATAATAATAATAATGTGACTGTTATTTGTGTATCTTGAACAGCTTAGGTTTGTTGCGTCCACAATGCATAGACAGGCCACAATGGCTTTAAAATGAGGCCTCCCTTAAAAGTACCGCAGTCGTTTTTTACCTTTCAGGTTTAAGGTTCCGTGGGGGTCAGTTTAAGCTCAGCCCTCGAGCCCGGTCTGAAAGGTAAGCGCCCGGCTGTGTGCCGACTCCGTGTCGGAGCTGTAGGAGAACGTGCGGGGTGAGCGACGCTTGTCGAGCTCCACAGAAGCCGCGGCTGCGTCGCCGGGGTAGGAGAGGAGCAGTGAGTCATCCTGCCATCCCTCAGCTTTCATTATGGAACATCCGGTGCAGATGAGAAATAATTGATCGTTCTCTGCCATTCAGAAATGCCATAGACCATTAAAAGCTGGGCTGCATCCAATGCTGAGATGTAGCCAAGTTGTGTGCGGAGAGGGGAAAATGCTTTTTTTTTTACCGCTGGAGGTACAAAAAACTATATTATCGGAAAGCATAAGTCCTGTCTTGAGGGTAGCGTTCAGTATCATACTGCATGTGCAGGATGTATTAATGGCCAAAAGGCAGAAGACGTAGAAATTCCCCAAACTTTTAGTGGCTGATGTATGAACGGCATCATTTGAAGCCTGTGTAGGCTGCACCTTTTCGAAGCACCGAGGTTCTGAGTCATGCTGACCACTGAAGACACCGTGCTACAGAGTGTAATGGTTAACCCCAGCATGATGGCCACATTTGCAGTCTTTCTGTGTCCATCCCGGCTTTGTATTACCCACTAGTGAAGTCGACCGGCTTGACGGACAACTCTTAACTACCCCTGATATTTGGGGGGGAGGGTGTTCTGGTTTATAAGAATACCTCAAATCCCACATGTGGTTGTTGAGTGTCGACTCTTACCTAGCCACATAGTGATCCAGAACTTTCTTCATCTTTTCTAAGTTAATTAAAATACTGGCAGTGGCGGTTTTATATTTCAGCATTTCTAAACAAGTTCCCTCCTCCGTCGGATTGTTTTGATATACCTATGGACAATATGACCCATAACATAACAGCTAGAAATTGGAACATATGAATATGCAGATATTATAATTTGGCCTCAGCACACGCCCACTCAGATCTGTACAGATGAGCTGCCGTTTGAACATTTGCAGCTAGCATTGTCATTTTCTGTGGCAAACCTGCTGAACGAATGTTGCAGCCCCTGAGCAGAACTCTCGTAGAATTTGATCAGCGTCCACACCCCAGATTTCAAAGGGGTCTTCACTTTAGAGAGTCCACACCCCCCTTCCCTCCAACTGGCAATAACAGGGGATGTCCTCTTGTGTTTTGAGGCATGTTATCATATTGAAATCAAAATCCAGTGTCTTGTGCTGAAGGGCTGAAGGCCATTTTTGAAAGTGCTGTCAAAGTGAACATATCCATTTTCTATTAGAAATCCAGCAGCATGCTTTTGCAGAGAAGGACTGCCTCAAACGTGGTGGTTAGAGGCATATTAAAGGGTATATTTGTGAGGTTCTTGTAAGCTTTTGTAGCAACAGCTACAATCCTAAAGATCCTCTTGCATTGGCAGAAACAACATTAGGCTTTTTCACATGGGAGCAGTTTGTGCAAATTTAATCTTTGACCTGACATTATCTAGCATCCTTTGCCATTAAATTTATGAAAGCATAGAAGTATAGCCTGTATGCTAGCTCCATAAAAACTTCTCCCCTTTGACCTACATACAGAAATATGAAAAATGTGTTCCAGTATACATGGACTCTTGTTATCTGGATTTTCTTTTTCATGGAGTTCCTTCATGCTGACCGGTAATTCGCACCAGTTGTAAATAAAGCTATTTGCCCTGGTCAGCGTTTGACATGGGAGAGGTTAGGTGCACAGTGATGATCCCCCCTGCCAGATGCCAGGATTGCTCAGTGTCCTCCCCAGTTATCTCTCACAGCCTTTCCTTTTGCCTGTCGGCTTTCATTGTGGCACCCTGTAGCTCTTAGGAGCCCGGAGTCGGGAAGAGATTATGCAAGGCCTGAGAAACGTTCCATATCGCACTGAAATCCGGCACCAGCCCAACGCCGAAGGATTTCAGGTTAGGAGCTGCAAGGCGAATGCCAAGTCGCACCCTCCTGTCCTCCTGTTCCGTTAACCGCCTCCCGTCCTTTCGTCTGTCCGCTATGGAAATTTAAGAGACAGACGGGGCCCCCAGTAGCTGAGACTGAAGAAGAAAAAGAACAGCAGCAGCATTGCTCTAAATGAAAGATGGAATGGTGTTCTTTTTTCCCCCAGGTTCAATAATAAATCCTTAAATACATTTGACTGACAGTATTATTATTATAAAGCTAGATTAATTCACTTGTACAACTGGGGAAACTATATCTTTGCACAACAGAGACTGGCTTTCATGAGTGAACAAAGCTCAGAACAATGTGTCGCCCAGTATCTAACCGAATCAATCCAGCAGTACTTAAACTGGTAAATGTGGCCGGTATATTCAGGGGCTCAAAACGTAGTATAAGCTATTCAGCAGTGTACCTGTTCAGTTTTAGAATAAAATAAAGGACTTGCTTTTTATGCTGATTGATCAGTCCAGGCTTAAGCTTCTTATCATTCATTATAACCATGAATAGCATCCCGTACATGAAACACATAAACTTAAAAAGTATTTTTATGTTCTTATTTGCTTTTGAAATAATCTCAGTTTTCACAATGAGAACCAGTGACATTTTCCTTACTTATTTTTTCATTTCCTTTTTAGAAGATGTCTGTTTTTTTTTACCAAGGCAATTTGGTAACTGGCACATAAATTAATACTTACAGTGTGATACACTGGCAAGTGCTTAAAGGAAGTCTGCAAATTGATTTGGTTAATGTTTGTATATGGTGTTATAATATGTGGGTTCTGAAATCAGTACTTGTTCTGCCCTGTCCAGATATGTGTACGCTGTCATATATATTTAGATTAGAACAATTAAAGAATTGCTTTTTTGGTATATCAACTGCTCATCCATTTATTGAAAACATGTCATTACCCTAGACGTACAGTCTACCTAAGCAACACAAACATCAATATGATTTAAACTGTAGAACAGGACAGGTAGCACTTTATAAATAAAATCCGGGAGCGAATATTGGTGCAGTGCGCCAGAGTTCATTTCCACAGATATTTATTTATGTAAGTGCATGGCAGTTAATTCCTCTGAGTACTTCTGTAGGTGGTTATAACAAGTAAGAGCCATGACGGGTCTGTAATTTCAATGGGGGGGGGGCAGAGTTTTTCAACACGCTTCACAAAAGCTACTGGTCTCATGGTGCTGTGATGCTCACTTGCTGGACTGTTGGGCAGGACGTTCGATATGTCCATCCTTCTCACAGCCGCGGGAGGAGCCCGCTCTGCCTTACCGTGTATGTGACATGGAGGGTAAGGATGAGGACACACATGAAAGCATCACCGGGACACAATTCAATGACAACTTCAAGAATGTCATGCGTTAACAAGGTTATTGCTGACAACGTGTCACTTTCGCGACAAAGAACTTCGCGACAAGTCAGTTTGGTTGTAAATATTCTTGATCTTCATGACTGCTGTACGATGTATATATCAAATAATGGAGACATCTGTTATTTAATGTACACAGTCAACAATTTTACGTCAGAATTTACTGTGACTGCTGTAGCTATAAATGAAAATATGAGAATACCATGGAAATAGTAATTTATGTGTCTATTCTTAGTAATCTCCATGCCTTTATTCATTATCACTTCTCAATATGCTAACGAGCAGTGCTCTTTCAAACATTATTTGGTGATTTAAGGCTTCCCATAATGCAGCAGTATCTTATCAGCATCACTGTAAACTTCATGGCGCTCTAATGGGGGTGGCACAGATAGCGGACTTGCAGATACTGTGTTTGTGCAGGTGTGTGAGGATAATTTGTAAGGAATTTCCATCTGAGAATGGGGTAGTTTCAGGATTTTGTTAAAAAAAAAAAAATTACCACTGAAACCAGGAATTGTTGTTTACGTATGCTTGCAAGCCAAATGCTTGGGGGTATGATACATAGGCTGTGCTTATTAGTTGCGTTATTTTCAGCGCAGGTAAATGTCTTTTCCCATGTGTATATACCTGTCTCTGATGCTGTTGACTAATTATGCAAGGCAAACAAAGCTAATGCTTCTTGCAAACCAGCTGCTGTCCTTGCTTAATTATACATTTCTTCAGCTGACAAAATTAAAATGATGCAATCAAGGAGAAGAACATATTACTCCCAGTACTACAAATAACCTGCAGGAAATAAATCAATTTATTACTATTGTTCTTAATTCTTACTTCATTAATCATGTACAGTCAATAATTAATAGAAGTCCGCCTATATTTAGCTTTAAATTGTTGAATAAGAGGTTGAGAGACCAGTAATGTGTTGCACTGCTCTAAAGCGATGTTTATGTTTTGTTCCTTCTCAGGATCACATGACCAGGGAGGGCTTCTGAAGCCGTATGCTGCTGCACATGCTGCCATTCATTTCCCCTTCTCAGCTGGCGTATCGAGCACACAGAAAGGCAGTGCAGACTGCCAGAGAGCCACGCTATCCACAAAGGATCCCTGCACGCTGAATCCATCATCCCCCCTGAGCCTGACAGAGGTTCCAGAGCCTGCTGCTGATGAGTCCTCCACCCACGCCATTTCCCTCACATCCTGCGTCACCAAGGGGGTGAGTCCCTGGTCCCTGCCAGAAGACTGCGACAAGACTCCCTTTACCATGATGGAGCCTGGAGGCATCTCCACCTTGACAGAGGATTGCCTCATGCAACCCAGCCGCACCTGCTTAGGGTGTTTCATGGAGAGCAAAGATGGTGCTGATGCAGAACCCGGAATCAGCCTGAAAATGGGTGATGTGAACAGAGAGTATGATGGCTGTTCCATGTCTGACATGGGAATGCATGCCATCATGCCCAGCGAAGCCTGCCAGTATGGAGACCAGCTTCTCTCTGACCAACTCCTTGGCTTTCCAGTCCATAAAGCCCAGGCAACAGAAAGGAGGGATGTTGAGAAGTCTGAGAGTGACTCTGAGGATCCTGCCTCCAAGAACCTTTATGAGGGCCTACTTCTGGACAAATGCAATGGAGAAGAGGCCTTACTATCCAACACTGGGCAAGACTGGGGCTACTTTGAATCCTTCATTAGCGAGAGCAAAATGGAGCTTCTCGACCTCTGCTCCAAAAATGAGCTTTCGGTGAATCTCTTTTCCGAAGAAGACGTGGACAATTACATGTTTGATGATGACGACGACGACTCCACACTGAGCAGTGATGTGTGCTCCCTGAAGATCCGTTATGAGTCCTTCCAGGACAACATGCGAGAAAAGACAAACGTTCTCCAGGAGGAGACCCAGTTCAGCTTCTTTCCAAGTGTTCTTGTCAACTGCACCAAGAAAGACGGTGGGGTCATCAAGAAAAACGTGGAAGGACTACAGCTCAAAGGAGATGAAATGCATCCTGTGGGAACTGACAGGAAGGGGGACAAGAATGTCTGCCCTACCAATGGGACACCTGATGGGAGTCCAAAGAGAAGCTATATATTTGACTTCAACAACTCCACTGAAGACTCAGGGGAGTACAGTGATGACAGCTCTTGCACTGGCTCCTCCTCTGACACTCTTCGAGAGGCTAAGGGAAGAAGCTGCTTTTTCTCCAGAGAGAAGTCATGTTCCTCCAGTCAGCTAAATTATAGACTGCGAGCTAAAAGGAAAGTCAGATACAGCGAGGATTACCTATACGATGTGGACTCAATCGAGAATGAGAAAAATGTTGAGAAACGTGAGAAGCTGCCTGTTGGTCCAAAGGAGGAGGAGGATGATGACTGGTGCCCAAAAAAGAGACGAAAATCCTCTCGAAAGGAACCCCCAGTCATTATCAAATACATCATCATCAACCGGTTCAAAGGAGAGAAGCACATGCTGGTGAAGTTGGGTAAAATTGACCCAGCAGTTCTGACAGTGAACTTAACTGAGGATGCAATGAACCAGTATGAGAAACTGGCCCCTCTGAAGAGTTTCTGGCAAAAGAGACAACAGGACATGGAGGAGAGACGTAGGCTGGTCGTGCGTGATAAACATCATTTTCGACTGAATGGCCGCAATCGTTCCTTCAGTTTGAGTCCCACTAAAAGGAAATACAAGATAGCAAACAGGCTCAGGATTCAGAGAATCCAAGCTGTGGAACAATTACCAAGCAAGCAGGGAGGCAGCACCGAAGACGATGCAACTGTTACAGGCGTGCCATTAACTATAGCAACCTCCAGCCGCGCAAGTACGATAGCCGCAAATGACATCACACACACCAGCACACCAAACAGCAGATCGCAAGAAAGGGATGACAAGAGAATTGGAAATAAAGTGGTGCGTATACGGAAATTCAAAAGTGAGGCGCGGCTGAGGAGCAAAAAAATGAAAGACATGGAAGAGGACAGAAGCATGACGGACCGAGCGGAGATTTGTGCTGTATTACAAAATCAGGACTCTGTCAGGAGTGTGAAGGATGAAGCAATGGACTCGGCTGCAAGCAGCCCCCATTTGTGTGAAAATCACACTGCCAATGCCTCTAAAAAATCCACTTTTGTATCAGCCACCTGCTCTCCTGACAAAACCACGCCATCTGTGAATGTGGCTACAAGTGTACCAGTTGTCCCCGGAGGCTATCTGCAGACACTGTTAGATGCATCAGATACATCGAGTAGCACCGGAATTTCTTTCTTCCCCCAGCAGCCCCCCAGGCAGTACCCCGTTGGTCTTTCCCAGGAAGAGAAGCAGTTCACTTCTCTGCAGCTTGCCCAGAGCTGTGTCCTCTCTCCACCCTCTGAATCCGAACTCCAGCAGTCGCCTCAAAACTGCCAGATTGAACCAAATTTCACCCATATGTGGCATTCGCAGCTCGGCCCCAGCCAGGCTCCATTTGCACCTGACATTCCAGAAACCCCCATTATGCCTAACAGCTTTTCTGGCCCCTTGCCTGTGCCAATGGCAGACAACTTGTCTGTCTCTGGATACAGCCAGCTGAACTTGGACAGCAACAGACTGCTGTATGAGAAGAATTATTTGCCGGAGCAGCCCTTGCCGTCCGATGGCGATTATCAGGCGTGTCAGGCGCCGTGCGGGGAGGGACACTTACAGTTGCAAAGAGGAACGCTGAATACAGACAACGGCAGGCTCATCAGTTTTGACTCAGTGGGTTCGTTGTCAGCTACTTCTAGCAATTACAGCTCTCTGAGTCTAAAGTCCTGCGAGAAAGATGGCGAGGATGACATGAACGATAACTTCTTGGCCCACTGCAGCCCAAAGCTGGTGATCCAGCAAAGTGTTGACGCAATCACACCCCTGAGGGAGTCGACGGATCTGCTGGATATCTCCAACTTTACTCCCGATAAATTTCGGCACTCATCGCTGTCAGAGATGTCCCCTCCGGATACCCCCAATTTGTCGCCCCAGGTGATGGGCCCAGAGATGAAAGGAGGGGGAGTGGCTAAGACATACCAAGAAGCCCGTGAAATGACTCTGGGTGGTACATCAGAGATGAAGTGGGACTGCAACCTCATACCGCAGCAGGAACACCAGGCTGCCACACTCACGGCAAACAGTCACCAGTTCCAGTTCCACACCTTCAATGATGACGATGGCATGGGATTGATTGAGAAGGATGCCAGCGTGGGGAACTTTGATGAGCAGGGTAATCAAATTGTGAACTGTGCCAAAGGTCCAAGGTCAAAAAAGAAAATCACCAGCAAGCAAATTGCAGGACAGGGCTCCTTCCCAGAACAAAAAGGTACAAAGAAGACGAAGGCTCCGAAAACAGCTAAGGCAGAGAAAAGCAAGGCCCCCCGGCAGAATTCTCGGTCACCTAAAAAGTTAAAGACCCCACCTGATGGGAAAACCAGTAAAGGTCAGGCAGGGGGGTCCAGACTGCCCCCAAGAGCTCGTAACCTGATAGACAACATGGGAGCTTCTGGTGGGAACCTCATGGGGGTGTCAGGAGATTGGCCTTTGGTAAAGGACCCCAGCACAGGCTGGTCTGATAGGAACAACCTTCTAGATGATGACCAGCGAGAATTTGAGGAGCCTTCCAACATCTTATCCAACATCGCTTCCGGCATGGCCGAAGTTCAGCGGTTTATGATGGCCTCCATCGAGCCACTGTGGAGTCCTGCATCTGGGGCCTGCCAGCCCCCTGAGGCTAACAGCCTCAAGTTAAAGACACTCAAAATCCTGGCAGGGACAACACCAGACTCCAAGAGGAAAGGCGCCGCCTCGCCGGGAGTGACCAAGGGAAGGAAGTCCACAGGCAAGGCTGGTAAAAACCAGTCCAAGTTCAATGCCTCGCATCCCTTTTTCCCCCAGCTTGCACTAGGCTGCAACATGTTTGATAAACCTACCCTAGGCACCCCAAGCACCAATGGTCCTGCACACAAAAAAATGTACCGTCACAAAACCAGTGCAAAATTCCCCCGGGTGGAAAACAGTAAAGGAAAGCGAGCAGAGCGAGACCCAAGTAAGGACTTAGCATTGATGGCCTCTTATGAAAAACTGAGGTAATATTTTGTAGCTGGCTACAGTCGCACCCTTCCTCACTTTGCTCCCACAGCCTGCTCTGCCCCCCTCGTCCCTTTACTCCCCGCCCCCCCCCACTGACTCAATGCAAGCGTTGCATGGCAAAGACATTTCTCCTGACTACCCCCCACAACCTTATTTCCCTGAAGACAAAATGAAAAACTTGCATGAGAAACTCCTTGTACTTGCAAACTACCTATTGAGTGATTGTGTCCAGCTTGACTGGGATTTAAAAGTACCACGGCTGCAATTGTTTCTTGCTCTGTTGCTGCTTTTCGCTGGTTTTAATTTTCTTTTTTCGTTATTTTGTTTGGGTTATTTTTGTCAGAAAAAAAGCCTTGAAAATGTTTAAAAGCCTTTTTTGTGAAATGTTTTTTCTTCCCCATGTGAAACTTGCTGCCCTTCATAATATGATTTAATAACATGTAGCTTTATACGAATGCTTTAAGTAAAAAGAGTCCCCATTTTTGTTTTACACAGAATATGGGTGCCCTCCATATCAAAGTCAGTCTACACTCTGACTTGTGTCATGAGGGAGAACTACTCCATCCTGTGAAGATCCATAATTATCCACCATTACAGACCGTAGATCACTCAAGAGTGCGGAAAAATGTCTTAAGGAAGATTTTTTTTTTCTGATGCAAAAAGGGAACATTTTTATGTGGATTATATCTCTATCAATCATCTACCATCTATCTATCTATGTGTGTTTGTATGTGTTTGTGTGTGAGATTACCATATTGTCTTATTTTTATTCTTATACGTGGAATGAACTTGTCATTTGTTTTTTTTTTTTACCCCCTGAGGGCCCAAGTGGAAACAGTGCCCGAGAAGTTCAGTCCTAAACCGAAAATATGTTGAATATTACTTGCAAAAAGGCTCTTACTCATCTTTCAGAGTACGATTTTTGTTAATGCCATTGTACAGAAACATATGCACTATCGGCAAAAAAAAGGATTATCATAATACTGAAATTAATGTGCCAAACTATGAACAAATATCTGTACAGACAATTTTCTATCTATATGAATATTGGCTGTTCTATTTTGTAACACTTGATGGAGAGCTGACTTTCGAAAGAAGTTATATTTTGGGACCCTCTCCGCTGGCGAGCACCTGCAGCTGACAGTGGTATGCTACCGCACGCTCACCTTACCAAAACAGAAAGACTCTGATCTTCTTTCTTTTTTGTTCACTAAATTCAATTTACCTCAACATCACCCGGCATTTTGAAGCTAAACGAGAAGTGAAGAGGGACCTCGTCGAAGACTCAAAGGACAGTGAGAGAATGGGCGCAGAAGAAGAGGTTCGAGGGGCGTCAGCCGCATCTTTTGAGTAAGTATGATGCCAGCAGTGTGTTTTTCCTGTGCTTAATCTACCCAGCAGCGATACAGGTTTGAAAAACAAGGTCGTGCAAATGGAGCTCATCCTTGTGAGATTGACTCTGACTTGCCTGAGCTTCAAGGACCTGGATAGAGGGAGAACATGTTCACTATTCATAAACTCTGAATTGACTTCACAATGCAAAAATATTCTGTGTGACTCAACAGTTACAGCTTGTTTTTCTTAAACAGACAGGCCGTCTTTAACTTGTTTGACAACCTGAGGCTTGTGAAACCTTTTTGAGAAAAAAAAAAAAAAAACTGACAAGTTTAAGGATATAGTCAGCTCTCTGTTTTTCAGTCCTTAATAAAAGATGCACCAATAGCAGAAAAATGTCTGATTTGTAGGAGTTCAGTGCTTCTTTCTCAAATGGCATTGAAAAACAATCATGAAACGTACCTTTTGTGTTTTGCAGTGGTACGGCCCAAGGCAAATCTATTTACATATATATGTGGAAATTTTATAACAAGTAGGGAAATTACCATTTATTTGTTAAAAAAAAATAGATAAATGGAAAAGGAGCAGCCCATAAAAAAACTGAAAATTAAACTCTCTGATATGTTAATTATACATGCTGTCAGCATTAAATCTAGACAAAAATTATTAGGGGGAGAAGGCTGCATGTGCATCAGCAGTCTCTGTTCACATATTGTCTTCAGCTGTTTGTGTTAATTATGGTGTTTTGTGTAATATGTGCCCTTTGCACGCCTCGCTGTACAGCAAAGGACACTCTGGTGCAGAGTCTGCTGACAGCAGACACAGACAGACATACATATATACACTTACATACATACATACATACATACATATATATGCACACCTTTGATTTTAGGATTTAATTTGCATTCACTGGTGAATGATAGGTACTCCAGTTGTGTAATTATGCTACTTTAGGGGCTGAGTTGTTTTGAGCTAACTGTAGCATGACTTTTTATGGAACAGGATAACTGTTTCTTATTATTGCAATTACTTCCGTGCTTTTGTCCTGTGATACGCTATATTTTGTGTTTGATTTGAGACTTAAGGCATTGTAATGCACCCCTTTCACTTAATTGTTTTGCACAATTGTAGACTTTTTTTTTTTTTTTATCGATAACCTGTGTTGGCCCGTTGCTGACATGGCGAACTTCCTGACGTTTTCACCCAATTAACTGCTTTCTGACAATTGCAACTCAAAGCATGTGGCTAAGCATAGAAACACACGGTGTAGATTCTACAAAAAAAAAATACACTTTTTACCCAACTGCAGCCATAATCACCTCTAAAGTGGAGACTGCACCTGCTCATATGGTCTTATTATATTTATTATAACCCTCCCCAGCTAAAGTGGAAATTATATAACCCTCCCCAACTGAAGCCGGAGTTGCGTAACCAAAAGTAACATAACCCTCCTAAACTAAAACAGAAGGTTTCACAAGCATATCTGCAACAGAGAAAATAATTTCCCTCCACCTATGCTTGCAGTTCACATGCTGCATTTTTCTTTTTATAAGTCGCATGCTGTCATTTTTGTTTTGTTGTCCTTTATTGCTTCGTTCTGCTGCTTAGCTGCTAAAAAGGAAGAAATCGTTTGCGTCACTCTTGATTGTTCCAGCCGATCTGGCAAAAGGTCGCTTCCCAGCCAGGTGGGGTTAGCGCGACGCAGGGAAAAGTAAAACCCACTCGGGCGAACCAACGTCCGATCAGACTCACTAGCTGACCCCGTATCATGTCTCCCGGCCAGGTCTGGGACCAGGATGAGCCGACAGTGTGACGGAACGCGGGGGCGGCCCACCTCCCCACTGCCCTCCTCCTTTCATTTCTGCCTATTGCCAGTTGAATGTACTTTCCGATGTAAAATTTTGTACAAGGTACCACTGTTGAGCTGCTGTTTCTTAATGGTGCTAACAAAGCAAACACAGAAACAGGAAAAAAAAAAAACAAACTTTTTCCAAAACATGACAAAAAAAGTGAAGAAGAATCAAGCTCTCTCTGTGCCCTCTTTACGAATGTATAATATACTGTTATGTTATGTTTGATGTACTTACACCATGGTTTTGACATTAATTGGAATTACTTTTTGCCTTTTCCGTTGAAAAGAATATTCAGCTTTATAAATATTGTCTAGAGTTGTTACCAGAAGGATTCCTAACAAACTCTTGACATTATGAAATCTTGTATATTTTTCAGTGTGCCAATTTGTAACATATTTTGTAAGTGTATATTTTTCTTAGAAAGTGCTGTGAAGTATTTGTGTGTGTGAGTAAACCTTTTTTGCGCCTCTGTGGGCAGTGAAAAGGATGTATAATGACAGGTTTCTGGTTTTAAAAACCAAAATACAAACAACAAAAAAGAAAACGTAAAAAATCTATAACTTTTTGTTGGGAGTTTTGTAATAAGACCGATCTTGTTGTGAGAGTGTAGTGCTATCGTGTAAAAAAAAAATAAAAATAAAAAAAACATAAGCAAACAAAAAAGAAAACCAGACGAAAAAGTTATACAAAATTTGTGATCTCTTTGCTGTTTTATAGATTTTCATGTAAATTATTCTAGTATTATTTTGTTTTTGTTGTAACTGTTGCAAAGGTTTTAAATATTTGTGATCAAGCCTGTATGGTGATAATGTTATATTGGTAACTTGCTGAGTTTTGTAATAATGTTTATGGAATAAATATACAAATTAAAATAAGCTTTTGAATGCTGCTTTCAGAAGAGAGTGATTTTATTTTTTTGTTTTCATCACTATACATATGCAAATGAACATGAACAAGTATGTATGTAGTGTGTACATTAACATAATATTTACTGGCCTTGATTGTGGACAGAACAATACTGTAAAAAATACATTAGCAGAAAATTTCAGAAGCGTAGAGGCTTAAGATTTATCTAGTTCAATTTACCCATTTAGAAGAGAATTGCAAGGTTGTATTGTACGAGAATATATCTTGATTTTTTTCTTTTGTTGAAAGCCTGTACTCTTCCCACATTATTGTCTATGCGTTACAATTTTCAGAGCTCTGTGAGTGAACTACTGATGTACACCAATCAGCCATAACATTAAAACCACTAGCAGGTGAAGTGAATAACATTGATTATCTCATTACAATGGCACCTGTCCAAAGTGCCATTATATATTAGGCAAGAGGACAGTCAGTTCTTCAAGCTGATGTATTGGGAGAAGGAAAAATGGGCAAGTGTAAGGATTTGAGTGACAAATTGTAATGGCTAGATGACTGGGTCACAGCGTCGGCAGGTCTTGTGGGGTGTTCCAGGTATGCAGTGGTTGGTACCTACCAGAAGTGGTCCAAGGAAGGCAAAACGGTGAACTGGCGACGGAGTCATCAGTGCCCGAGGCTCACTGATGCGTGTGGCGAGCGAAGGCTAGCCTGTCTGAATGTGATCCCACAGGAGAGCCACTGTAACACAATTTGCTGGCTATGTCAGAACACAGTGCATTGCAATATGCTACGTATGGGACTGCATAGCTGCTGTTCCCTGTCCACCACCGAAAGTGCCTACAATGGGCACGTGAGCATCAGAACTGGGTCACGGAGCAATGGAAAATGGTGGCCAGGGTTGATGAGTCACATTTTGTGTTACACCATGTGGATGGTTGGGCATGTATGTCATTTACCTGGGGAAGAGATGGCACCAGGATGCACTATGGGAAGAAGGCAAGCTGACGGAGACAGTGTGATGCTCTGGGCACTGTTCCTCCGGGAAACTTGGGTAACCTGGCATGTGGATGTTACTTAGACAAGAACCACCTACCTAAATATCGTTGCAGACCAAATACACCCCAACATAGCAACGGTATTCCCCAATGGCAAATGGCCTCTTTCAGCAGGATAATGTACCACGTCTCGCTGCAAAAAATTTTCAGCAATGGTTTTAGGAACATGACAAAGAGTTCAAGGTATTTACTTGGCTTTCAAATGTTCCAGATCTCAGTCTGATCAAGTATCTGTGGGATGTGCTGGATAAACAAGCCTGACCTATAAGGGCCCATTTCACAAGTTACGGGACTTAAAGGATCTGCTGCTAATGTCTTGGTGCCAGATACCAAAGGACACCTTCAGAGGTCTTGTGGAGTCCATGCCTCAATGGGACAGAGCTGTTTTATGACATGAAGGGGACCTACACAATATCAGGCAGGTGGTTTTAATGTTATGGCTGATCAGTGTATTTTATGTTTATTTCACAATTTCTTACAGTACAAGAGAGAACAGTAGAGTTGGCTTATATGATATCAGCTGTGTCAGCCAAAAACAATTGGAAATAAGTGCCAAGTATTTGCATTTGTAGCTGAAATATAGAGATGAGAGGCAGAAGGGCACTATTGATATTGTTCTTTTGGTTATGACTGCAAGACACTTAATAATCCCAAGATACACTCCCCTGATTGGAGAGACCGGCATCTGTCAGTATTAAGTGCGTGAGCGCCAGCTAACAGGACTGAAGCCCATTCACAAAAATTGCAAATTCAAGCAAAGAAACACTTATGCGGGAATTTATGACTAATGTTCTATGGCTCGAAACTTAAGCGGTGGTGTTGAAATGTGAGCAAAAATAAGAGATATCAAGATATCAGACCCCAAGAATGAGCCTTGGCGATTTAAACTTTTTGGCATCAATGCAAGTAGCTGCATTATGCTTTGAGTGGCTTAGGTAAGATGAGCTCACAGAGGTATTATAAGTGCTATGGTGCAATTGATTGGTCTGGGGGCCACTGTTGCTATTTATCTGTGGGGATTTAAATGTCTTACTTTATAATATCCCCAACCACTATTTGTTTTTAGTGTCTCGAAGGATTTCCTGTCTCTACTGTAGTCCTAAAATAGATCAGAAATATAGAACAACTGTTGTTAGGTATTTTTAGAGATATAGAATAACAGTTGTTATGTATTTTGTCCGAAAGCCAGATTCATAGGAAATATGGCCAAGGAAAACTGCTGAGACACTGGATAAGCGAATGAAGGAGAGGTTGTCAGAGGAAATAATGGTAGGAAATGGTGACGAATCGCAAAACTGGCAAACATCTGCAGGAGAGAAATGTCAGCCTGGTCACCCAGCTACCATCAGGGCCTCTGTCAGCAAAGAGGGACAAACGTATCAATCCACGAGGAAAGCCACTCTCTCTGGTAAATGCCACCCAGCTCTTTGCCTGGGAGCCCACGAGCAATGAGCCTCAACTGGCCATAAGCTCAATAGAGCTACGGAAGGACTGAATTGATCCCTGCTCTTCCCATGCAAGACCAAACACCAGAGGGGATGGAGACAGACAAAGATGGATTGCTTTTCCTGTTCATCTCCTTCAG